TTTTTCTTTCCTTCCTCTTTGGTTCGGTATGCGTTACCGCTCGAGTGTCGACGTCGTAGATCTCGCCGTATCCCCGCGTTTCATTTCCACCGTTTGATTGAACTCGGAAGCGACGTGCACAGCAGCGCGTCCTGCTGCGTGCGAGAAATTAGCGGGCGACCTAGTCGACGCGCGCGAAATGCCGATCGGAGATGCTTTAGATCGACTTTAGAGGAACGGTTGCAGGGAGTCGCGCGAAAGTATGGGGGGGGAGGGGGAAGAGATTGTCAAGCCGTTACGAATCTCCTTGCGAACCGCACGGTGTCGAGAGATGAGAGAAAAAAATGAAACAATAAAAAAGTACAAGCGAGACGAGAACAAGATATGATGGTAACTTTCTTCCGATGGGTGTTCAAATGTGAGACTGTGTTCCCTGCATAGCCGTGTATTATCTTTTGCGTTCGAATTGAGACACGTTGGCATCGTGTCATGTTTTGTCTCCTGGCATTACTTTCCCCGCGGTGCATTCGTTGACGGGACCGATCCTTGGCAAGAAAAAAAAAAGAAAGGGGAAAAAGAAAACGCAGGAAATCGCCTGTCGCGCTTGTATGTGAAGCCGCGTTTAGACGACGATTGGACGAGAACAGGTTGTAACAGTATCCGCATTGACAGATCCGTCTCGAGATTTGCAATTAGTCGCACAAGGTCCACTTATTTTGCGACATTTTTTTATTCTTCAGCTTTTTTGACTTTTTAATTGTTAATAACGTGTGTGATATGTACATATATACACACACACACATATATAAATATATAAATATATATATATATATATATAGTTTCCCTTGTTTTGATTCGTATAAACTTCAAACTTGCGTCGATTTTTACACGAGTTCTACACAACGTCGTGTGCTGCATGCGCGAAACAAACAATATGTTTATCTTGATTGTTTTGTGGTGTATAGGGCTGGACGACACCGTGGGCCCGGGAGGCGTACCGGAGCTAAGTTCTAAGCAGCGTCACCAAATGAAGCACCGAGAACTCTTCCTGTCGCGGCAAGTGGAGACCATGCCCGCCACGCATATTCGAGGCAAATGCTGTGTGACGTTACTAAACGAAACCGAATCCTTATTGAGCTACCTGAACAAGGAGGATTCGTTTTTTTACTGTTTAGTATTCGATCCTGCCCAACGGACTTTACTTGCCGATAGAGGCGAGTATTCTAAAAGAACTGCGTTAAGCTGCAACGGTATTATTATATATTTTATTATGATATTACGTAGTGTATGATTCTGCGGTGTCGCAGGTATCTTACGTCATTAACAATACTCTCTTATCACCTCTCCAAGCACTTGAACGATCGTCCGTAACATTCTGTGATCGCATCCATTAGATGCGATCCCAAGTCGTTGGCGATTTTTTGAATTTTCGCCTAAAGATCTTTCATCGTCGAATATTTATCAATAGAATTCTTCAGTCTCGGAAATACTTGATAATAAACTTGATAATGAGCAGTGGAGAATTAGCATTGTCAAATCTAGACTTTAAATCTGGATTATAGTAATATATGAAAACGCGAAAAAATAACTAAAACTAAAAATGCTTTAAGCTTATTTTGATCAGTATCGATGGGTAGTTTAAAACCCCCCGTCGATATTAAACTCCACAAAGTATTAATGTCAGCGTTTGTTGCTGATAGGTGAAATTAGAGTGGGCAGTAGATATCAAGCCGACGGTATTGCTCCTACTGTTTTATCACCCGCGGAAAGGGAGACTGATTCTCGCAGATCGCAGGATTTAGAGACGTTAGTGTGGACACCACGGCATAACTTGACGGATCGTCAAATCGATCAGTTCCTCGTGGTCAGTAGATCGGTCGGAACTTTTGCGAGAGCTCTCGACTGCTCGTCCTCCGTCAAGCAGCCCTCATTACACATGTCAGCGGCTGCAGCTTCCAGAGATATTACACTAGTAAGTGTCGTTCAATTTTAAATCAAACTTTGATCACATGGCCTATTATACCCGTGCGCGCATAACTTCACATATACATAGCATATAATATAAAAATAATAATAATAATAATAAGAAATAATCGAAAATTTACCAAACAAATGGTTTTCTTCACAATCCAAACAGATTGTGTTTTTTCTCATCTCTGAGAGTAACATCTAACATCTCTCGAATCTACCGAGAGAATTCAATTTCCTCGACCAAAATTATACTGGATGGAAATCACGTTAAAAGTAGAAAAAAAGTGAACAATCGTTTTCTAATAAGTGATTTAATCAATTTTAAATCAAACTTTGATTATATGTTGTATGTAAATATGTCAAATAGGTATACCGCATTATTAGTCTCGCAGTTTCATTAAATCGCATGAATGTTTTGCAGTTCCACGCGATGGATACTTTACACCGACATAGCTACGACATAGCGAAAGCCATGTCGTCCCTGGTACCCAGTTCTGGTCCAGTATTATGTCGAGACGAAATGGAGGAGTGGAGCGCATCCGAGGCAAACCTGTTCGAGGAAGCACTTGAGAAATACGGGAAGGACTTTCCCGACATACGATCGGACTTTGTAAGCGCGCGTTTCACATGCACATGCAAATAAATAAGCGAAATCATGTAGCCGTTTGACGAATTTTGTTATATATTTGTATTAATGTACATTTCTTATGTATGTACAGTTACCGTGGAAGACACTGATGAACGTAATCGAGTACTATTACATGTGGAAAACGACCGATCGCTACGTTCAGCAGAAGAGAGTAAAGGCGGTCGAAGCGGAGAGTAAGTTGAAGCAAGTTTACATACCAAATTACAACAAAACTCCCGCGTCGACCGTTCCCTCTTCCGCGACGATCGTGCCGTTGGGTAATAGTAACAGCAGCAGCAACGGCAAGCCGACCAATGTGCTGAATGGCAACAGCAACGGCAGCATGCCCGGCGAGAACTCCGGGATACTTATGGTCGGTGTTGGCGGCAAACCGTGCGAGAGCTGTCAGATAGTGCAGAGTCCGCAATGGTATGCATGGGGACCTTCACATATGCAATGCCGTCTTTGCCAATCTTGCTGGACATATTGGAAGAAATACGGAGGTCTTAAGGTATTAGATGAGTAGCGATTTTCACTTGTTATTCGTCTCTGCGCATTTCTCGTGGTCGAAAGTATCGTACACAGATGCGTTGTTTATTTATGCAGCAGTTATTTTATAACAGTTACTTTTTATATAAATTTCTATAAGAAATTTCTTCTTTTATAGAAGAAGCTTCTTACGGTTTTTGATGAGTCCTTTTGTTAAGATTTTTATTGAATATATTCCAGTTGTAGAGAGTTTCTACAGACATTTTATTAATAATATTTATCTGCCTCATTCTAAGTGGGCAACTTGGTACAGTTATAGAGAACAAACTTGTATTAATATGTCAATGTTCCATTTATCATTAGCGAACCAAGTTATTTTCTAACTGAAATCTAAAGATTTTTTCTCTGACGCAAATTACTTCTCGCGTCCGCAGCCCTTAGTGACTTTTAATTAATAACTTTGGTTATATCTCTCTCTCTCTCTCTCTCTCTCTCTCTCTCTCTCTCTCTCTCTCTCTCTCTCTCTCTCTCTCTCTCTCTCTCTCTCTCTCTCTCTCTCTCTCTCTAAGAGCCCGTAAAAGATACATAAACCGCGAATTTCTTTGATATTTTGACTATCATCAATTAAGCTTCTGCACAGTCAACGCGGAAATCAACGCGATGGCCAACCAATGTTAATATAATTTATTTTTTTTAAATATGTGTTGGAAAGTAAACACGCCTAAAGGGAGGGAAGATTACTGGTATATTCATCGGGCAATATGTATGTACAATTCACAGACAGATAGGTTGTTCACTATTTTTTTGTACGAGTTTTAGAGCCCATCCATCTTGTTCAACGGGAGAATCCTCCTGTTAGAAAATAAATTCTCTTGTTGAACAAGGACGAATCTCGCTTTCCGAAACCGATAGAAAAAATAACGAGCAATGATCGCACGTGTATATATATATATATATATATATCTGTTCATTCGGCATTGGAAGGACAGTTGAGTCAAACTTTTCGAATTTTGAATATTATACGTGCGAATATACAGAAAAATGCAGAAAAAGAATCAAACCGAAAGTCTACATAAATATCTATCTGCATATCTAAAATTGCATAACTGCCAAGTCTCGAGTAACACTGGATCGACCAACCATGTGTTATTTGATCGCCTGTATACTCTCAAGACTGCCAACCGGGTTCGTTTACTTTTATTCTATTGTTTGTTGTGTTAATCGAGACAAATAAATATACAAGCTTCGCATCATTATATGTATGTCTCGGGAGCGTTGATCAATAATCGCTAAGATTTCTTGATGCCAGGGCTTAATAACAGTGAGATTTCTCGCGATTCTCGAGACAGTTCACAGTCACGAGAATTCCAACATCTCACCATTATGATTGGATCTATCTACTTTTAATAGAACTGTAACTTCGTTATTGAACATTAACGTACGTATTGGACTCTCAGTATCAGTATACTTTTGTCACATCACATGCACTGTAAATGTCAATAGATCAGAGCTACTTCGCGCAGAGAAACGTACACGCGAGAGAGCGGTACATCAAAGTGGAAAAATTCGTCTAACGTAATTTTTTGTTTTTTTCCCAACGGTTGAGCAGGTGCCCTCCCGAATGGACGACGTTGATCTCGAGAGGAAACGCACCGGCGCCGGGTCCGACGAGGAGAGCAAGGGCGGCATTGGTGGCGCGCACCGACCTCACCGATGCAACATTCCCGGCTGCACGAAGGAATTCAAACTCAAAGCTCATCTGAGCCGTCACTATGCCAGCGCACATGGGCTTGACCTTCGTGGTCCTGCCGGTAGCGGCGGCGGCGGCGGTGGATCACCGCGGCCAGTGATGAAGACTAGATCTGCGTTTTACTTACGCACCTCCGTGCTCGCGCGCGCTTCACGACGCCTCTGCGCTAGCCAATTACGTACACGTCACGCCGCACGAGCGCCTCATCAACCGGTGAACGCAGCGCCGCTTAGACATCTCTGTACGCAGCTGGCGTCTAAGAGTCCGGCCGAATTGCGGATTTTGGCTCGGGCGATACGACCGCGTCCACGTCCCCATGTGACCGACATCGCCTCGCGGCTGGGAGATCACCCGTCTCCGCGGACACCCGGCGATTGGGACTGGCTGGCTCTGACCTCACCAGCGCAGCGCAAACAACCGGATCGAGTGTCATTCCCACGACCACCTAAGGCACCTGGTATGAAATGAAAAGTGTGCAGAAATATTTAATCCGTTGGATATCACTAATGTCACACGCTCGTATGACGCTCTTCTTTTTTCTCTCTCTTTCCCAAGTTTGTTCTTACTCAAAATTCTCATAATTCTAAATTCCGATTTGGTATCACGTATCCTTTGAGAATCTGTCGTGTTACAGACGTGTCATAAACATTTCAATTCGCTTGCTTGGGAGGAGGAAGGACCTGAAATTGTTTCTCGCTAAAAAAATGAAGTTACACGCCTTCTGTTTCCTCGCCGCTGCCATCTTGAACGATGACGTTAGAAACCAAGAAATTTCTACTAAAAATTCCTTTCGAATATTTTCAAAATAAAAAAATATATCTATAAAATAGCACTTGCGATCGATCGAGTAGATTTGTAAAAATCTCCAGACTTTTTTCTATTATGTTCTAACAACCTTATCAATATTGTGAAAGTAATGTGAAAGTAAACAAAACTTTTTGTGTCATAAATCAAAATAGCCGCGGTGAGTAGGTAAGTAAGTAAGTCTCAAATAAAGTTACATTGGCAACACAAATTCATCATGAAGGTTACACGATATCAATTCAGAATCCAGATATTTCTTAATTCCATAAAAACCTGAAATTGAAATTTTTGAATTTTAGTGAATACGTACGCTACCACACAACGTCACATATGACGTGACAGTGTCAACTTTTTTTTTCTATGTTTCTCTATCCGCATAAACAAGCTAACTATATACACATATTGAATATATATATATGTTCCATGTTGAAAGTTTAAATATTCGTATTTAAGGATTAAAGTAATAAGAATGTATTTGGCATTGCTATCTCTATCTTACATAAAAACAAACATAATATGGTTTGTGGGAAAAGATTTCCAAGTAAAGTTTGTGGAGAAGAGGTAGTCAATTACTAGTCAATTATAAATTTCTTTCGCTCTTGACCTCGTGGTCGACTCGTCATGCTTTCTTGACGTGAAATATTATTGTTGGAACAGATGGTAGTCTCCTCTACGAAAGGGTTCCTAATAAACCCGAGGTAGACAGGCTCGCGATAACTCCACCACAGCCACAACCCGTCATGCCGACGCAGCAGACCATTATGAAGCGTACAAGACCGTTCGATGAAGTGAATGGTTCAGATGGTAAGTCATATCGAGATTTCGAGTCGTATATTGAATTTTGCCTCTGCTTTTGCCAGCTTCTGTCCGGATGTGATTTGATATGGAGGTAAAAGTTAAAAGTCCAGTAAAATGGCGAGTAATGATGATTGTCGCGAAAGTCGTAAGCTAATTTTACAATTTCTCTCTGGGATGCTAGTTCGCTTTGTAATTAGTCGATGTTCACGTAGTCCTTCGCGAAAAAAGCCACACGTGGCCTTCAAATGTGTTCTTTCATTCCACATTACAGCCGGAAATTGAGTTTATTTTACAGAGCATGTACGCATTGTCGTAATCAAAAAGTATCTTTATTGTGCCGATCTTGAGAAAAGCGGTTTTTTAACAGTCGATGGGTAAACGATAGTAATAAAACTAGTGGGAAGAACTGTGTGTGTGACGAGAGATAAGATAAACCAAACTATTGGGTTGGCAACTAAGTGATTGCGGATTTTAAATAAGAATGAAAATTCAAAATTTTTAATTTGCTTTTTTAAATGTTTTTCAATGCATGTATGCGATACATTGAGCTTCTCTGCAATATCACGTGTTGTGCTATGACGATCTGAATCGATAATGGCCTTGATATGAGTCTCATCGACTTCAACTGGACGGCCAGATCGTCGAGCATTTTTCAATGAAAAATCACCAGAACGAAATCTGGCAAACCAATTTTGACACTGCCTTTCTTTCAAGGCTTCATTCCCATATACGGCATATAACTTCTTGTGTGCTTGCGATCTGTTCTTGCCTTTTCGGAAATAATACAATAAAATATGTCTGAAGTGCACGTCTTGCTCTTCCATTTTTAAATTGGGATAAAAACAAAATTAAAGAACTAATCGATATAATTTTTGTACTAAATGAAAGGTAGAAGTCCAAACAATAAGAAAAAAATATAGGTTAGGTACTTTGAACACGTTAACGAAACAAAAGAAAGTGTAAAATCCATCTGTCGACAAAATCCGCAATCACTTGGTTGCCAGCCCAATAATACAATCTCGCAAGTAGCAGATAATTATAAACTCAAATAACCATAAAATGCGAAATCGCAACGGGATATCGATTAATCGCGAGACAATGTTTATATTGATCATTTCTTATACGTACGTGCGCCAAATAATAACTTTATTAAATTACTTTAATTTTTCGACAGTTGTAAAAACAATGATATATCAAGTTCGTACGAGAAAATTGTATTGTGCCAATGAATAATGATTAATCATTATTTTTATCATCATCAACGAAATAGAGACAATTTAATATAGAAGGAAAATTCGATGAAAGAAAATAATTAAGTGCAATTTGATACAATTACAAAAGTGCAATTTAATATTGTGAATCAGTGTACACAAATTTATTATAATTTATTGTAAAATGTAGAATTATAAAGTGACTGGCTGACCCGCTCGGTATAAACAAGGTCAACATCTCCCGCATTTCAGACGATTCCACATGAAAGGGAATGTACAAACACAACGGAACATTCCGTCTCTTTCTGAATATATCATAACACGCATGCTTTTATTCTCTCTTGCTATTAGGTCTGGCTCTGAGTACGGGACTCCCCGGCGGCCCTCCCGCGAAGAGAACTCATCTTTCTCAGCAGTTGCATCCGAAGCATACACTGGAACATCCCACGCCAGCTGTTCTTCCCCTCGCGCCACCGCTCAACGGCAGAGCCGCTCATCCACATCCTCTACCGTCTCATCCACCGTTATCACGAAGTAACGCACGTAAACAAGTAATATCCTGGATGGATGCTCCCGATGACGTGTATTTTCGGGCTACAGAACAGATCAAGTTAGTATTACAAGCGTAAGGAAGAATCTTGTTGAGAGATAGAATCGCGACCCTTACGCGGGGCGATATATGATACATAACGTCCCTGCCGTTATCGAAAACGAATTCGCGCCGAAAATTAATCCGACTTTTGTCGTAATTGCAGAAGACTCAGAAGGACCCTCTCTTCGGCGGAGTTACGAAGAGCGGCGCGTAAACCGTGGCGCAGACTATCGGCCCCTCTGCATCCGCCGCATCTGCAAAGGGCGGTTCGTGGCGAGGATATGGTCGTTATTTTGGACTGAATTCTTCGCGATCCGATAATCGCACGAGCCAACTTGCCAATGTTGGTTCATCCCCGCGTGCGAGGTGTCACGCTGTTATCGTAATTTTAACGTCACCCCGAGAGTGAAGAAGTCACACTAAAAAAACGAAGCTCGTGTTTCTTTTAGAAACGAAGTCACGTTTTCTTGTCACCGGCAGCTGCTTCGACGTTAAGAATGAAGAATCGTTAAATAGAACAGATGCGAAATGATGAAGAAACAAAGAAAGAACGAGGAAGAAAAGATCCCATAGGAATTTGACGAGACTCCTTTTTTTATGGAAACTAAACAAATCGTAATCTCAAGAAGTAGAGAAAGGCAGAAAGAGAAAGAGAAGGTGGAAGAATAAAAGAGGAAAAGAGCCTCGCTTGGCTGAATATGTATGTTTAATGATGGAATTTGAAAGAAAGAAATAAAGACAGAGAGAGAGAGAGAGAGAGAGAGAGAGAGAGAGAGAAAGAAAGAAAGAGTGAGAGGTAGGAAAGAGAAAAAAAGAGGCGACAAGAAGAGAAAGAAAAACGTCGTTGAATTGCTGCACAAGCACTTCGTTACGTACGAACGTAGGGCGTAAATGCTCTGGAGAGAATTAATGTTCGAATCGTAGTCATTAAACATGATTTTCTATTCGTATTAATTATTGTTGTTATTAATAATTATTAATAATTGAATGTACATATACATTATACCACATGCAGTCATACGATACACTATAATCAAGTAACATGAAACGGACGTGCGACACATACACGTATACACGCATCATACACATACACACACGCACACATAACAGACACATACATAAAAACGCGTATACATATATATGCGTGCATACATACACTCACTTATTCACTCACTCACTCACTCATTCACCCATTCACCCACCCACCCACCTCCATACAGGCGATGGGCACGACTTTAACGATGGTAAAAAGAAAAAAAAAGAAAAAAATTTTTTGGCCCAACATGCGCATCAGCTCACGAGTGTTAACGGCCGTGCGGGCAACAGACGAATGTGGCAGAATGAAAGCGAATGCAAGGGAGAGAGAGAAAGAGAGAGAGTGAAAGGGGAAAAAGCCAGCGAGAAAGAGAGAGAGAGAGCACGAGTGAGTGAGAGCCTGCGAGAATGGACTAGTACGTACGGGAGACAGAGAGAAAGAATGCTCACTGTGAATATTTTTATTAAATTTTCAAGTTTGATGACTTCCGTCGAAACAATTAATAAATAAACATAAGCATAAGTGGAAGAAACATCCTGGTCATTTTTCTATGCTGCAACCATTGAAGATTCGAAGAACACAAAGGTATTATTTCTTTTTTTTTTCTTTTTCTTTTTTTTCCGATTTTCTCGAGGCTCTCGTTTCTTCGCCGTGGCCGTCTTGATCTGTGAGATCGGAAGCGAAAAAGTACACTCTAAAATTCGTGCACGATACGTTAAAATAAAAAAAAACATATTTTTATAAAGTGATATATTAGCAATCAATCTGCAACGAGCAAAATAATTGCTTTCCTTCTGTTACAATTGATAAGTAATCGTGAAATTAACGTGACTTGTGAGAGAATTGTGGGAATTATGAGAAAGAAACAAATCTAAAGAGTTGATTGCTCTTCATCTTACAAGAATTTTGAGCATGTATTCGACGTCATAAGTCAAGAAAGAGATCCACAGCAAGAACCGGGAGCTTTAATTATATTTTTTGTTGCACAAATGTGTAATTACGTCTTAGCAAGATTCTCGATCGCAAAAACTATCGTGTAGTGGAAGAAGCTCTCAAAAAGTAATGCAACGTATTGTATATTTTGTAAATATGGCCCCTTTTATTTTTGGTGTATTCGTACTTCTTTTCTTCGTAGACTTTTTTTGACTAGATTTGAGTTTCGACGAAACGATTTATAAATTGTTAATACATGGTCAAAATTGTGTAAAAGAGAAACTTGGAAGAGTTGCCAACTTTTACAATCGATCTCTCCGATCTGTACGAGCGGCGAAGATAATGATGTCGTTCGAGCTGGATTTTCGACTTTCGCACGCTCGCTAGCAGACATCTGGAAGAGACTAATCGTATGAGGGATTTTCAAGGATTATGAGAGATGATTATTTATAGGTCGAGATCGCTAGCGGTAGCCAGATGGAGAGACCGAACGTATAAGAGACATACTGATGAGCTTTCGAATCGTCATACTTTACATGGTGACAAACTGTGTATACACTGTATTTACAAGAAGACATCGCGGCAACCACGGGTCTCTTTCTCTGTTTACTTTCCTGATAAAATAAAATAAAAAAGAACTAGAAGATCAAAGTAAAAGGAGGTACGTTTTCTATACAAATTTAAAAAGATACAATTGAACAATGCGTCCCGGGCAAGGCGCGTGTTGTACCGTGTCACTGATACGTTGATTCGCGGTCGGTATGTAAATTGTCTGCTTAGTCGATAAGTAACAATTCAAGTAACACAATTCTATGAAATAAATCACCGCGTATACGCGAAATTATATAATTATATGATCTATTGTTATATACTAATGATCGAATGAGAGCATAATAGAATAAGGCGTAAAAAATAAAAAAGTTGTGAAACAAATGTATATTGCAGCGGTCGGTGATGATTGAATATCCACTTATCCCCCAAAGATATGAGCAATGCCCACCACCGTGAGACCGATGATATATCAAAGAGAAGTCAGAGGTATTAATATCGCATATTTTTACGGCCGGATTAAAAGAGAGTCGATATATTTTGAACACTCCGAATTGATTTTACGATCAATTTATTATATATGTAAGCCATGCGACTCGCATGGCGTAAAATCTTGATGGTTGAATCAACCTTTTACCCTATGAGATTACCGACTATGTCTAACCTAATAGCAGCACTGCAAAAGCTTGTCAGCTTTGGATAATTTTTTGTTATTACAAAAAGGGCCCGGAAGTAATAGAAGACGACGATGCCGACTATTTTTGGTTATCCGATATAAATCTGTAATACTCAAAAAATGCTTAGGGTATAATCGATATCAATTTTATCATTCAAGCCACACATAAAAGGAGGACATTTTATTATACATAAACTATTGTTGTGAGACATACATTATACAATTATCACACATCTTTATGCTGATTTAGTACAAAAATGTTACGAACAGAGATTTTACATGCAAGTTAGATCCGCTTGTGAGACTAACAGTGTTTCATCGCGAATCAAAATTACTCGATAATATCTCGCTTATTCGATAATCTTAATAATGAGATTCGGGCGCGGATCGCACAATCAAGTTTGAACTGAGAACACGGAGAGACCAGATACATCCGACTTTGCGATTTTATCGTTCGAAAGTTTCGAGCGTCAGTCGATATCGCACTACGCTCGGCTACGATCGATCGCTCACGCGCGATTGTAACGTGCTGCCGCTTAACGGGCAACGCGCGAAGTACAGCGCTGCGTCCCGTTGCATAGCGACGGCGGGCCATTTGTACCGTTATTCGGTGAATTCGAATCGCGATCGCGGACGCGACAGTTTCGTCGTCGTTTAGCCGTGTTTCGTCGATATCGCGGTCGAGGGGATATCCGTTTTTCGCTTCCCGTTTGCCGCCGTCGTAGCCGACGACGACGACGACGACGACGACGACGATGAACGATGTCGCGACGAGGAAGCCGGGCGAAGAAGACGCTCCCGACGAGCGCGTCGCGACGTGGTCGCGACACGATGACGACGACGAGTACGAGCTCGCGGAATACGACGCGACCAGCGTCGATCGTCGGGATGACACCGCGCGCGACGACGACGACGACGATGACGACGACGATGACGACGTTGGCGCCAGGGCGCCGCCGCGCACGACGGAGGAGACGACGTTGCGGCAAGTACAGCGCGAACTATGCCTGATCAAACTGTGCTGGAAGCCGGAAGTCTCGCCGGCGACGCCGGAAGACCTTTACGTGCGATCGCTTCCGGACGCTTACCGATGCGTCAGCGGCAAAGAGCGATTGTTGCTGTGGTACGCGGAGAACTTTCGTCGGCAGTTTCACGCGAGGTACCCGGATCGTAGGCCGCTGTTGCTGGCGTGCGAAAACGAGTGCGGTGTACAAGTTAGTACAAGTTGCGGGGCAATTTTCCCCCCGCCGTCTGCTATCGCCCCCTCCCCCCCCCTCTAACACATTGCGGATCGTATGCAGCTGGGGGACAAGTGATCATGTACGATTAAGTACATATCTAACCTCCATGTGACTGTCATGTATGATTACACACGCAGGAAAATATGCACACTGCGTTCAAGTCGCTCTTGTTTCAAGTATTTCGTAAGTTTGTGTATTCGCAAGTCTATTCGCAACGTCAGTTCGTCGTCCAAGCATCAAGTTTATTAGAGATATTGGACATTCTAGGTTAATAACTTAATCGGGAATTTTCTCAAAACTTCGGATGGATACATTTTAAGACCGCACAAATTTCCCGATTCTCAGCGATGATTTAGCTTCAAAGTGCTCCGTAAAGAGTTGAAGAAAGAGCAACGATCCGTGGTGTGTTAATACTCGTGCGAAACGATACCGTCTTATCCTCCGCCCCCCCCCCCTCTACCCTACAATCCTTCAACCTGTACTTTGCACAAACAACGTTTGCTTTCCCGATCGCGAATACTCGCAATTTTGTTTCTCAAACGGTTTGTTCAAACGGGAAAGAGGCCGCTGTGCATCGTCGCGCGAATGAAATATCCGGAAAGTGAGAGACGCGTGCCGATATATCTCCTCCCCCCTCCCTCTCTTCGACGCGATAGAGATTATCGGCGATATGACTCGATAGGAGGGGGGATGTGTGCAAGCTGCAACGCGAAGCAGCTCCTTATTCACTCACGCGACTCCCGCCACGCGACGCGACGCGATTAGCGAAGAATTAGCAGCGCGCGATAACGGATCAATCTGGAGGCGCCTGCCGAATGGATCTCGTTAATTTTTAGGTTAGCCACTGAAACGCACGCTGTTTAATTCGCGCTAATGACGCTCTCCGAACCAAACACGCTTGATCGATTCGTTGACTCGTTGGATGAGGGATGAGGGAAGGGTCGACACAGAGAAACACGACGATTATTTCATTCTGTTTTATTCTTTTTTTTTTCCATCTTTCTCGACTTTTTCGCTTAAGAGACCGAATTAATGTTCTCTTAATAAATATACTTTCGCGACTTCCGTTCACTCATCGTACAAAGATACCTTGTTACAAAAATTAAAATATATCTCGAATAAAAACGCCGCCGATGTGTCTACGTAATAATATAAAAATTTTGAAAGTATCGTAAAATAAGAGAAAGGAACAATGGAATGTAATTTACCCATCTTTCCATTCCTTTGTCGGCTTTTCCAACTGATAGCGATGAATAGTCGCACAATCAAGATCAGACTAATCTATCAGTTTTTCGTTTAATCTATGTTTTCTAAATAATAAAAATAAACCTCGCTATACGGTTTTTTTTCGTACATAAGCTATACATTATCATACTTAAAATAGTCAACCTAACCTAACAGTCTTATTTACACTCCATTATCGCGGTCACAGCATAGTTGTTTAACTTTGGTTTGCTTCTTACACAAATACATGCTTTGCGACATATCCTGTCTTTTCTGTCTTTTTATGTTGTACAAATGACATATAATAATCGCTTGATCACTAAATACGAAGGAAGCTGTACGCGTGTTTTCCTTTTTGTTCCATCCGAAATAAGTGAAAATCACTCAAAAATTAAGTCAAAAGCACGCCAAAAAATTTCGTAAAATTCGACAACAAAAGCAGCAAGTTGGATAGACCAAAGAAAAACGAAAGATTACAACCAAATGACAAAACGCGACAGCTTCGGTATCGTAGACTTGTTATACCGGACCGCCAATCTGCGGGGAGAACGGCGGCGGGAGGGGGGGGGGGATAAGCGACGCGAGGCCGTCTACACGGTAGAGATTCGGTGGTCGATTCGGCGTGCGCCGAATATTTCGGAAACAGTCACGCTCGCGTGTTGCGCAAAAAATTTCCATCGTCTGTCACGCCGCTTCTTCGAAAGGATGAGGAGCTTCGAAGTCGTGATTTTTAGACGATACTACGGCACCCTATTGCAATATCGCTCGCATGTCGCATGTCGCGCTTCCTCCACCTCTCACCACCATGAGGTCTCACCCCATGCAACGCGCGCACACACTTGCCGTTTGTGCGGTCCAGTGTATACCCTATAGACTAGAGTCAGGGTTTATCACGATATCCTCCAATTCGCGAGATCGAGAGAGTTCGTCGCGAATTGCCGTCATTAGAGTCACACGTTAAAGCTTTCTTTCAAACTAAAGGTGTGTGTTTTCTTTTTCTCTTCTCTTCTTTAAAGCTCTCTAACTAAATTCGAATTTACTAGGTGGAGCCGAAATATGATCATTGTACTCATTGTCACATTAATCTCGTGTGTACGTACACGCGAACACAAATCAAACCGAGAGGAAATGCGAGCGACGCCAGCTCGCCGGCTCGCGAGGGCGAGATTACTTCGCTGAAAAACGTCTAATCCGCCGATTTCGTTTTCTTTTGTACAGAAGTTCGTATCTACAACTATCAGAAGATGCACGCCGCAGTATCCTGAACTGTACACCTGGCAGGGATGCGCAAGTTTCGTCAGCGATTATATCCGCTACGAGGCGCCGGATGAAGCGTTTCTCATGGTAAGTCAACGCGCCTTTTTCTTCCGAGCGTGACGCGTGGAGGAGCCCTTTCGAAGGTTACGCTGGAGACACTCTACCAAAATCAAAGTGGGACTCTCTCTCTCGCGCCTCGCCTCGGCTCGGCTCGGCTCGGTCAACGGCACGGCGCGGTGCGTTCGCCGTCCGCGAATTTGGCCCGTTCTCTTACCACGTGTAAACTGGTATAATGTGTGTGAGTGTATGTATGATATATACGTGTATACAGATGTATGTATATATATATATAAATATATGTATATACATATATATTTGCATGCATGTACATGTGCAAACATATATATGTATGCATATACATATATATATATATATATATATAGAGGTGCGTATATATACATATATATATATATAGATATATATATATATATACAAACATGTGTATATTCTTTCTACTTATGTATTAACGGAACTAGTCAAAACGGAAAATGGAGGTAGTAATCGTCAGGAAAACGCAGATTTTTGCGAGCCATCCGCGGTACATCGTGCTTTCGTTTCGTCGCGCTCGCCGTCTCGCGATCGACGAAACTACGGGGCGAGGGAGCGGGGGAGGGGGGGGGGAGAGAAGAGAAGAGAAGAAAAAGACGAGGAGAGAATTTGGGAAGCGTCGCTGCGCACTTCCCTCCGCACACTTTTCACCCGTCCGTCTCTCTCGCATCCCCTTCGTCGTACGCTGCTCCGTACACGACTTGCGCCAACAAGTGACAGAATAATTTAATGATTTATGTACATTTTTACAATCACGACGATATAATTATATATACGTAATCATAAGTGACTTTATACACTCTTATATACAATTACACAGAAATATATACACGTATAGACAATTATTAGTAATTACTCTGTAATCTTGTTGGCTCATGTCGCAGCGCGCGCGCACACGGAGACGAAAGGCACGCGAGACAGATTACGAGGGACGGGAGAGGAACACGTGGATTTACTGTTATCGTTCAGCGAATCTATCGCGGCATCATCGACAGCGAGACGCAACCAGTCACAAGAGAGCCACATGTGAATGCGTGTGTGCAACACACATATACAGATCAGCAGACACACACACACATACACGCATTCACACTATTAGGACTCGGCGCGTCCGCCACCACCGCGTGTCCCGGCGCGGCGTCCTCCTCCTTGTATTCTTCCTCCTCTTCTCTTTCTCTTTACTTACAATTAATATTTCTACATTTTTACACCGGTGAATGGGAGTATTCGTCAATAAATAATATATACATTTACTATATTTCGCGGCCCATTATGATAAACAATATTATACAGTTTTTTTTTACAAATATATACAAAATATACAGGTATGTTCATACTTTATGTACTTAATGTAATAAAGTATAAACATCGTAGACGTAGTATAATATATACATATATATATATATATATTGTTTATGTACATATTTTATATATTTACAATTAAATACAAAAAAATGTCGCTCTTACCGGTTGTGCGTGAGTTCATGAGTCCAGAAGAAGAAGATCACGCGCGACACGCGAGTCGCAAGGACGCTCTCTCTCTCTCTCTCTCTCTCTCTCTCTCTCTCTCTCTCTCTCTCTCTCTCTCTCTCTCTCTCTCTCTCTCTCTCTCTCCTTCCGGCACTTCGTCCTTTTCTCTCACTGTTTACGACACAACCGGCGGACGATGGAATGCGACATTTTCCGGCATCATAGTTGCGTTCCCTCGTCGTGTGGTTCCGCTGTCGATGATGCCCCCCTACAGCTCCCTGGCACTACCTCTGCCTGCGTCGTCGTCGACTGTGAGTTCTTCACCCACTTGAGGACGTCCACGATGTATTTGTGCTCCAGCACATGCTTCGTGGTCAGCAGTGGTATCGAGCAGTTGTTCAACCACTCTTGCAGCCAGGTGCCGTATTCGATCGCCTTTTCGATCCCGGTGTTACTGGGAACGCTCTTGGCGGCCCGCAGTATCTCCCTCACTCGTGGCGGCAGCAGCGACGTGTCGCTCATGGACGGCGTCGTTAGCGTCGCTCTCTCGGCGGTGGCCGCCGCGGCAGCGCCGCTGAAGGAGTTGTCGCGCTCCTCGCGGCTCTCCGATCTCTCGCTGGCGTCGCTGTGAGTGCGATCCCTCATCTCGCTGTTGTTGTCGTCGCTGATTGTGCTGAAGTCGTTGTTGTTGTTGTACAAGTAATTCAGCACGTGCTGCGCCTGTTCGTGGGTCATGTGCTCCTTCGGCGGCCAGGTGCAGCAACCTACCCACTGCCAGAACCAGCTCTTCTGCGTGTCGAACGGGTTCGGCGGCATGTTCGTCGCCACGTTGTTCTCGCTCAGCATATGCATGTGTTGCCGGAGATTCTGCTGCATCCACGTCCAGAAGGCAGTATCGGCGATATTCGCTTCGTCGACGCTGCTGCTGCTGCTGCTGCTGGTGTTGTTGGTGGTGGTGTTGTTGGTGGTGGTGGTGGTAGTGGCGATGTTGGTGCCTCTCGCATTTCTGGACGTGGTCGGCTGAGCGTTGTTGTTCTCGTGAGGGGATGCCGGGGCCGGGGTCGTCGGCGCCTCCGCTGCGGGTGTCACGTTCGGCATTTTTCTGCTCGAGTACGAGCTGGAGGTACCGGTGGTGGGCGCGACGGCGATGTTCCTGTTGCCGATGGTATGGTCGAGCCCGTTTCCCATAGCGTTGCCTATCATACTGCCCACCGTGTTGCGAACGCTATCGATGCCACAGCTGATGTCGGTGGCCGCGGTGGTGACGCTGCTGCCGCTACCGCCGCTGACGGTCGCGCTGCTGTTCCCTACCATCGTCGGGAACGTGGTGTTATTGGCCCTGGTGTACTGCAGGCCGTTCTCCACCAGGCCGACGGTGTTGGCGGCAGCGCGTTGACTCGAGTAGCCTATCAGCTCCTTGGCGATGAGGCCCGGCAACAGAGTCGTGGTCAGAGCCATTTGGTTCTGATCCGCTGATGACATCGCCGCCATCAGGGCCGCGTAGTTCGTCGAGCTGTTCATCATGCTGCGATCTACGCGACTCAAAAAGCTACCGGCCGAGCCGGTGGAGGGACCCGCCATCACGGTCTGCGGGCTGTTGTTCTGCCGGCCGGTGCGCTCGATCCTGGCCCTCTTGGCGATCGGGCCGTCTTCGTCGGGCGGCGTGGCGGCCGACTGGCGGCTGTTGCTCGAGTGCCGGCTGCCGACCGATTGCCGGCCGCTCACGGACATGGGGCGGCTGCCGCCGATACTCACCGGCGAGTGTCGCGCGATCATCTCCGCGGACACGTTGTTGCACTGGCTGCGGATCTTGTGCTCCGACTTGCACCAGCCGCGCAACGTCGACTCCGGCACGCCGATGTCCCGAGCGACCGAAGCCTTGCTCTCGCCCTCGTGGACGCGGTCGATGGCGCCCACTTTGTCGGCCGGCGAGACGTTCTTGATGGGCCGCTTGCCCGGCCGGGATTGCCCGTTCCTCGACGCCATCTGGATCTGCAGAGGTGTCCGGTTGCCTTCCCCGATGATGTCGCGAGCGCTGTTGATTGGCTGACCGTTGATCGCGATGTTCTCGTCGATGTGCACCGCCGTCGTATCGCTCATCACACGGCGGTCGCGTGCTCGCGATTTGTGGCGATCGCGATTGTCCACACCGCTGTCCGACGACGGCTTCCTGAGATCCAGCTTGAACGGTTGTCGCGATGTCCCTTGTCCGCGCTCGCGCGCGCTCCCTCTCTTCCGTAGCAACCGCGCGACCGTCGACTCCTCTTCTCTTCCTCCTCTCCTTCTCCTCCTAGCCGGCGGACCGTCTCTCTTCACGCTCGCGCGCGCGGGCTCACCTCGCGCGCTTCTTCTTCTTCTTCTTCCTCCTCCTCCTCCTCCTCCTGCTCTCCTCTACACTCCTCCTCCGCTCGGTCGCTTGTCGGTTGCGATTCGCCGCTCCCTACGTCGATCGATTAACGTTTCACGTTCTAAATCGCACTATCCACCGACCGACTACCACACTACCGATCTCGTCTGCCTGCAAACACGCGAGGAATTTCAATTGTAGCTGCGCTATAGTGAGAGAGAGAGAGAGAGAGAGAGAGAGAGAGAGAGAGAGAGAGAGAGAGAGAGAGAGAGACACAGAGATAGAGATAGACAGACAGACAGATAGACAGACAGACAGAGAGAGAGAGAGAGAGGGAGAGAGAGAGAAAGAGAGTCGAAGGGAAACGCGAGAAACGACAAAGACGACGACGCGCGCGAGCGAAGCCGCCTCGCAACTCGCCTCGCGAAATCGCGCGCAGCTTCCACGAAAGACAATTCGGCGAACGGTGTGCGCGAAAGAGAAAGAGGCGATAAGACGACAGAGGCCCGGACCTCGTCTGCTCATCCGGATACGATGACACGTCGACGATGATGCCGCCTTGTCGCTCTCGCTGCGCGCCGAGCGACGAGAGCGAGAGAAAGAGAAAGAGAGATCCGTACGCCGCAACGTTGGCGCGGCGTGTGGCGCCGATTCGTATCTCGCGCAGTAGTAAATAATGCCGTGTGTAAACGTGGTTACGTTGCCGCCGCCGCCGCCGCCGCCGCTGCTGCTGCCGGTCGGGGGAGTAGTCGGTCCTCCTCCGTGGAATAGCACATGCGCTCACAGAGAGTAATAAAGAACTTTTTTATGAATGAAACAACTCGGTCGGTCGGTCGGTCGGTCGGGTGGCTGGCTGGCTGGCTGACTGCACTCCTCCTCCTCCTCTCTTCCTCACCACCGTTCCTGCGCCCCCCTCCCTTGTCGTTCTTTCCCCTTCTCCTCTTCCGCGCGCGTACACGCTGCCCTCCGTTGAAGCAAGGAGCGTGCACCGTGTGCCCCGCTGCTTTCGCTCTCTCCCTCCCTCCCTCTCTCTCTCTCTCTCTCTCTCTCTCTCTCTCTCTCTCTCTCTCTCTCTTCTTCTGTATCCCTCCGTTATCTTTCTCTGTCGTTGCCGGCGCTAGCGCGAGTAAAACGGAACATGCGTTGCTTTGCCGGCGCTCCGCGTCGTCGTTTGCCGCTACACCAGCCAATCCGCAGTGCGCGCGGGAAACGATATTATTGCTGTACCACGAGGAATAGCATGCTCCGTCGGGGGTGGTAGATGTAGGCTAGAGCGAGATGGACTGATCAGCGCGGATGGAGACGGAGATAGGGTACACACGTACCGCTAACCGAGAGGTCGCGATACCGGCCGAAGATCAGTTTTCGCTGTCGCGTTATTCGTTACTGTTCTCTCTCGCCGTGCGCGGCACTTTCTTCACGTTCGTCGCGTCGCGTCGTCGTCGCGACGTTGTCGCAAAGTTCGCGACACGGACGAATGTACAAGCGCGTAAATACACGGGCGATACGGTTGCTTTTTATGCTCCTCTCCTCTCTCTCTCTCTTTTGCGCTCTAGCTTCCATCGCGCCGTTGTATAAGATATGCGTGCGTATGTGTGTGTGCGTGCGTGCGTGCGCTCACGAGGAGCACCTCTCGCGCCAATGTGCGGGAAAGAGAGTGATTGTCGGAGCAACGGGAGAGAAAGAGCAAGAGCGAGAGAAAGAAAGAAAGAAAAAAAGCACACGCGCGCTCTCGCGTCTCGGTTCCGTACGAATCGCGATCGCGAAAGGATGATTCCCTGGCAATAGCCAAGGATAAACTCGACGTGTGATCGACGTATTTATCCAACGTATTTCCAAATATTCTCTCGCTACGAATCTCGATACTTACCGAAAATTTCGCTATCATCGGCCGGCTGCTCCTTCCGCGCTGGGTCCACTCTGGCCGGTCTCTGGGAGAGAAACTTCCTGAGAACCTCGGATAATCTCTCACTCGAAACACGATTATCAAAACTCAAATCCGAACGCTCAGGTTCGCAGCAACGCAACAACTCTCGTGTCGGCACTCGTGTCCAACGCACAATATAAGTACGACGACGATGATCGCGCGTTACCACCAACTCGTATGCTCGTACTCGCGTTTCGAGCTCTCGTGTTCGACTGGATCCCGACGGTCCGGCGACGCACAGATGACTGCTGTGTGTGTGTGTGTGTGTGTGTGCCTGTATAGTCGTTGCCCTCTCTCGCTCGCTTCTTCTCCCTCCTTTTCCGGCTGATGGTCTTGGTCTCTCTCTCTCCCTCCCTCTCTCTCTCTCTCTCTCTCTCTCTCTCTCTCTCTCTGCCTCTCGCTCGCGTATCTCACGAAAATCGCCGCGCGCGCGGTATCCACTGAGGACGATGCGGTGCGCGCTCTCGAACAACGATCGCGTACGAGTGCTGGAGCACGACTGACCGATCACCAGCCCGTAGTTGTTGCTCGCACCACGACAACGTACACGAGAATGCCGAGTGAAGCGGTGCACGCGCGCGCGCATACACTCGTGCGTGCGTCTCCCTCTCGTAGCGCTTCGCTACGGCCGAACAGGTGAAAAGCGGCGCGCCGAAAATCACGACGTCGTAAAGTCTGCCGATTCGCGCGCGTTTGACTACGGACCGAGCACTCGTGTGTGTCTATTTGTGTGCGTCTTCTCTCGATGCCGTCTCCAGTGGAAGTAACCTCAAGCCGTCCGGCTCGTTTACTACGATGAGGCACAGAGCTCGGTCGGTGGAGAGGGGTTGGCGGGGGAGGGGGGGGGCACGGTCAAACTGCCTCGCTTCCGCGTTCGAAGGGGAAACTACCACCTGTCTCTCAGCCTCAGCGTCGTCACGACGAAACTACCGAAACCACTGCTGACTCGCGAAGACCGAGACGAAATCACTCGTCCCACGAATCGCCGCGCTCTACTGCTACGACGCTCGCGCTCGCGCTCGCTTCCAGCGGCCTATCTCCCACCACCGCCGGCAGCGTCACGACTCGCCCTGCCCCACCCGCACCCGTTGTCCTGCCTTCGTCCGAGCTTCCCTAACCGCCCACCCCGCCGCCGCCGCATCCTCGCGCGGTTGGCCGACCTGTGCGCGCGGTCCCTCCTTTCCGATCGTACCCTTCACCCCGTCATTGTACGGACCAAACCAACCTCGTCCCCCCCGCGCTTTGTCCTCCCCCTCTTCTTCCTCCTCCTCCTCTTCCTCCTCCTCCTCTTCCTACTCTCCCTCCTCCTACAGTCGTCTCGTCCTCCTCTTCCCACCACCCGCACACGACCCCTTCTCGCGTCCACGGTCACATGACCCCCGAGTGCGCGCGAACACCGCGAGCGGGAAGCGTCGTCGACGAGGCGACGACGCCGCCGCCGTCGCCGCCGCCGCCGTCGCTGCCGCCGCCGCCGCCGCCGCCGCCGCCCCCGCCGCCGCCGCCGCCGCCGCCGCCGCCGCCGCCGTCGCCGTCGCCGCCGCCGCCGCCACCATTGCCGCTTCGTCTTCATCTTCGTCCTCGTCCTCGTCCTCGTCCTCGCTTCGACATTGTCGATGTCATTGTGGCTCCTCAACCCCCGGGGTACCACCAACCCGTCATGCAAGCCTTACTTTTCTTTTCTTTCTTCGAGCGCAGATTTATTTGCGCCGTCCGGCGATGTCGCGTTATCTCATTGTCTAACCAATTTTGTAAGAAGAAGAAAAAATATAATCCTCGGAGCCTTTGAAATTCGACGGCGAGGACGGGGGGGAGGAAGGCATCCCTCGAAGTTCGCATGTCATTTGTTTGGTTCCTAATTGCTGGACAGGGCAGTTAAAATTTTTGAAATTTCTTTTTGAAACGCCCGACGGACGATTAGAAGGGTACCATATTCGGAAAAAATATTGCCGCCTCGGCGGTTTTCTTTCAATCCCGCGTCCGCGGGCAACAGGACATGTCTGCGAAACAGTCGGGTCCTCCATCAATTATCTGTTAGACTCCATTGTTAGAGTCACGTACGTGTAGAAATTCTTCAGGTCAGTTACGGTAGTACCGGTCGGGTTTTCCTCGTCTTTTGCATTGCTTAACATTTGGTCGCGACTCTACCGTGTTGGAAACACGTTACACATGGCTGTTCCTGCCGCGGGTAGATCTAGGAAAATTCGTTGTTCTTTAGAAAATTAGCGAAAAAGATGACCGGCAATCGCGATAACCAATTATTGTGCGGACATGCTCGTTCCGCTTTCGACTGCGACTCCATCTTTGCGCTTTGTCATACAATTTTTTATGCTTACGGTCAGTTTTGAATATATTTGCGTTCCTTGCGAACCTTTGGCTCGAGATACAAGGAGAAGAGTAAAATTTTCCCCCACATTTTTTCCCTCGTCCACGGGATAGATTCTTTCTTCAGATGTATTGCAGATGGTCTCGTCAAGTCGGAATATTTAAAAACTTCAAAGTTGGACACGTTCTTTCAGAAACGCCGAGACGTGCGTTTTTCCTCTGTTTCGTAGAAAATCTGGAAACTTAACCGTGTCCAACAGACGCTCCAACGACCGCATCATCGCGCGTTTTAATCAATCGGGCAAAGTCTCTTCGACGATCTCATCGCACCGAACAAAACCGAAGGCAAAATCGCCAAATTGTTTATCACCCGGGCATCGCCCGTCCCGTCGTCAACGTAGTCGACAGAACGAGCGTTGATTGAAAAATTTAAACGAATTACGCGTCGCACCGTCGCGTCGCGACTTGTATGAACAATTTGAGCGCGCCCACCGCTTTTGAGAACATCATGGATTGGTTTAATGCGCGATCGATATTTTCCATAGGTGACTCTTTGTGTGCATTCCGTCCTCGTGTGAATTCGCCGCAGTCTCTCGAAATCAATGTGACGCTCTCGAAATTACGCGCAAGACGGTCGTTTTCAATAAAAAACAAACGATGCGATCGGCGATGGTATCCTCCTTGTCCTCCGATGACGATGTACCGGCTCGAGAAAATTGACATGAAAATCAAGCTATTCTTAATTTGATTTGATAACACCCGTTGGTTGGAGTGTATTCAACCGACCGGCCGTTTCTACGAGTAATTTCCGCTCGATACGGAAAGGCGAGGCGATTAACCGCATCGCTCGCAGGCCGTGTCAAACTTTCACATTAAGGGCTTGTCCATTGTGATTGACAATCCAACGACGATCGTCATTTTCTTACCGATAAGAAAGAGAGATAAAGAGGTAGCGAAAGATGGGACAATGAGAGAGAGAGAGAGAGAGAGAGAGAGAGAGAGAGAGAGAGAGAAAGAAAAAAGAATAGAAGGACGGAGAGGCAAAAAATGTCTAGGCCATAAAAGCTTACGATTCAGCGGATTTTCCTTCAAAGTTGAAGAAAAATGCAGTGAAAGAGAAAGTTCCGCGGGGAAAGAAAATCAAGGACGAGACTGCCGCGCGTAGCCTGGCTCGTACGAAGGAAGGACCTCCTGTAACGAAAGTAAATGCAAAGCGAAGTCCTAGTTATTCACGTCTAATCGACGACAGGCGAAGCCTCGTTGACCTTTCGTCAAATTTTTTACGGTGATCACTCACCTCAGTCACACCTGTTGGAAAACTTGAACAAGGGTCAATCTGGAGTCTCAGCTGGTCGACCAGACGGATTGACGTCTGAACGGATAATGGAAATCAGCCTTAATTCACGGGCAAATTCGCCAGAATGTCACGAGATCACGTATGCGCGATATTCAGCAAGCGAGTATAAATGTAGCCGTGTGCACCGGCTTTGAGAGAGAGAGAGAGAGAGAGGGGGGGAGGGGGAGGCAGAAAGGCAGCCTACTGCCGATAATTATCGGCGATGCGAACGGTTAATTTACGGTTTCCAGAATCACGTTGGAATCTCGGATAAAAGTGTAACGTGTTCGCAGGCACGCTGGGGGATGACGACGGATGAAGGTGAGCGAAAGGAGCGAGTAACGTAACGTCTTTGGCAGATAGCCGAGTTAGATTTATGATGATCGTGACAAGACGTTTCCACATTTTTGCCCGTGAAAAGGTCCAAATTTATATGACTCACCATTACAAAAACACCATAGGAGGCCGCGAGAGGTAGCGAGAGATACAGATAACCGCGCGTCCCCTTATTTAACTTTTTGCACACTTCGCGGGGCTAACATGGGATTTCCAATGCTCCTTGGTCTTATGGTCTTTAGGAGCTTTTATATGCGTGGCATACCTGCTGCGGAAACACTTTAAAGAACGCCTTGTCTTTCGTTTCCTGACGGTCTCGGAAAACGAAAGATGCTATGTCTGTGCAGAGGCTGTGGGAGAGGTTCGCGACTCGAACACAAAAATGTTGGTGGGAGGAGCCTGGGACCGACGGTTGGAAGTTTAAGGGGATTGGAGGGTCAGATTGCTGAAAAATCGTGCTTGTTTTTGATAATATTTTGTGACGAACTGAATAAATGTGCAAGAATGAAAATTTTAGGTATATTTATACAACATATGAAGAAGAATAGAAAAATTTTGTCTATTAACAATATCATATAAATATACGATATCGTCATCAAATAATATCGTATAAATATACGATATATATAGCTGAAATATACTCCCCTTTTTTTTCAAGTTATCGTTTCTGCAGTAATATCTCGGCTCTCGGTGGTGTCCGATCAGAGCGAATTTTAGTTAGAAATCTTGAAGAGGAGGCTTATCATTATCCGGTGAACTACTAGAAAAAAAAATCGGACAAAATTAAGAAAATGGCAGCTATTATTAGGAAAAAATTCAAATTTTTCAATTCTTTTACAATAAAAATATTGATGTCTCGAAATGAAATATTTTGACGGAGTTGTCCATGGTTCACTTGAGAGCCACATGAACAAATATTATTGCTTTAAAAGTTCAAATCGATACGAAGCTCAGTTTCGGAGAAATCACGGCAAAAAGTTGAACAATAAATTTTCGAGGAAAACTCGCTTAAAATTTAAGTGGACGTATATTCATATGAGTGTTTGTTTAAAAACAAAATTTTTCTACTCTTCGTATGTTATATAAATATATATAAAATTTTCATTCTTGCTTTCATTTATTCAGTTCGTCAGAAAATCATTATCAAAAACAAGCACGATTTTTCAGTAATCTCTCACCCTTCAATTCCCTTAAGGCATTATTAGAAGGCTAGAAAATTCGTGCATATTTGCGAGACCGGAGAGTCAGGAAGAGAGAGACAGAGAGAGAGAGAGAGAGAGAGAGAGAGACTTAAATTTTCAGCACAATATAGTCAGCTTCTTACGAAAGCTAAATTCCTCCGATTAAAATTCGGTTGATGTAAAATCAACTTGTGACGTCGAGGCGAGAAAGGTGATTTTTGTCGTGCCGGAGGTTGCTTTGCGAAAACTCTCTCTCTCTCTCTCTCTCTCTCTCAGATTTTACGAAGAAAATCTTGAGAATTAAGAAAATCAAGTTGGCGAAAGCTGCCTTTTACTTACCGGGTGGAGCGACATTTCTCTCACACAACGGCGGAATATTCAACTTCAAAATTTGAAGAAATCTCCGTGAGAGATAACTTTGGTATACGCGGAAAGAGATACAGAAAGTGGCAGGTCGATTTTCAAAATACACCCTCGAGTTGACGAGTACCCGAATAATCAATCATTATTTTCCCAATATCTCTTTACACCTTTATAATAAATGTGTCAACTTACAAGGTGACACGTCGCAGAGTTTTTCCTGAAGAAATTGCTCGACATAGCCTGTTTTCCCGGTCAAAGTAAAGGCCCCTCTTAATTCAAGTCCGCGAAATCTCCCTCTCTCTCCCCCCCTCTCCCTATCTCTTGCTCGCGCTGGCTTTACGCGTATCGCGACTTCGAAGTCCTCGGTGAAATACAGCACGCGGCGCTTATTACGCCGTAATATATACACGGAGCCGCGAGCCCCGACGAAAATATGATTTCGCGAACGAGGCCGCGAGAGGCCGACGAGCCTCGACGACGGACGGACGACGACGAGACAGAAAGAGAGAGAGAGAGAGAGAGAGAGAGAGAGAGAGAGAGAGAGAGAGAGAGAGACGAGAGAGAGTTCGATCCGCGATTAAAACGAGCCGCGCTCGCTATTACGCGCGGGAGGAAACGCTCCGCTTCGCCGGCGAGCGCGGGAGAGGAGAGGAAACGAGGAAGGGTGAGGTGACAAGGGGTCCGCGAGGGGGCGAGCCGGAGGGGGGCGGAAAGGCGACGACGACGCCGGGAGGAAAATCGATCGATGGCGTCCTGTATAGGACGCGGAGAGGCGCGTACACTTTGCACAGCGTCACCGCCTCCGCTGCCGACGCCGTCGCCGTCGCCGTCGCCGTCGCCGTCGTCGTCGTCGTCGTCGTCGTCGTCGTCGTCGTCGTCATCGTCGTCGTCGTCGTCGTCGTCGTCGTCGTTTCCATCGTCGTCGACGTCGTCGCGAGCGAGCCGAGAAAGGCGAAAGAGAGGCCGCGCTCTCCCTCTCTCTCTTTCTCTCTCTCTCTCTCTCTCTCTCGTCCGTCGATGCGCGCGCGAGCCGGTAACCTGCCTGCACAATTAATTTTCACCTGCTTCCCTCGACGAGCGGAGCCGAGAGCCGAGCCGAGCCGAGTCGTCGAGTCGAGTCGGGCCGCCTTGCCTTTCGCGGAAGGATGTACACGCGACGCACGAAAGCGCGTGTGTGCACGCACGCACGCACGCACACACACGTGTGTCGTCACGTATGCCTGACATTTACTAGATCGAGAGCCGCTGGACGCGGCTTTTCGAGCGGACGCGCTTCCATCTCTCTCGACGTACACACGTTCGTGATGACCGTTAATTTTCGTCACGAAGCTTTCGGCCAAACATTACTCGTTTAGCGACTCCTTTTACCTTCCTTCTTTCGCGAGCCTCTCTCGGGAAGCTCACTTGCTGCGAAACATCCCGGCTTTTCGACGGTACTTTCACTCGAGCATACATTTCCCGAGTTTTCGCGACTCCCCGCGAGGTCCCCGCGACTTTTCTTCTCGCTCTTATTGGCCATCGCTCTCCCGCTGCTCTCACGCGCGGGCATGAGCGGGCGAAACCTAACCTAACCTCACGCGAAGCTCGAGAGCTGTCGCGGCTGCTTTGGCTGCTGGCCGATTCCTCGGATGCCAAACAGTCGTGATGAATGCGTATTAATGGAAACGAATGCTCCCGGTCGGAGGCGCGGTAACTCGATGTAATAAATGTCCGGCCATACACGTGTATAATCCGTACGAGCGCCCCGCTAAACACTCTGCGCGCTCGGCGCACGCGAGTGTGCGTGCACACGTACACGCGCGACGCTATTTGCGACGCGTGTGCGTCGCGTCGCGTCGCGTCGCGCGCGGCCCGAGTTAACGGTCGCTGCCGTTCCTTCGTGGCGGTACGCTCTCCCGTCGTCGTCGTCGTCGTCGTCGTCGTTGTCGTTGTCGTTGTCGTTGTCGTTGTCGTTGTCGTCGTGTCGGTCGCGCGATAATATCGATAAACGATCTCCGCGTCGCCGACGCTGGTCAAAAATGCGTGTCCTGAGACACGTAATTCTTTTTGTTGGCTCGTCCGTCCGTAGCTACGAGCCGCGATGTCATTGTTCGTATGGCACATTCCATGGAAACAATTTTTTCATTATGGAAAACATAACAGAACATTTGAAAAAGCCGAGCGTTGATATGAGACGAGACAAAGATATGGTAAATAAATGAAGAGACCCGTCGAGCCGGACCTGTGTCGCCACCGTCTCTCCGTCCCTCCACAACCTGACTGATGATACGGCTTCACGATCGCCACCATTCCAAATTTTGTAATCGCTCTTTGCCTGAGCCTAATAACATTCCGTTAACTTCGGACAAGAATTTTCGATATCTTTCCGCGGTTAGGTTACGCGCTGTTGTCGCATGCCCACACAGGACAACGATGAATGTCAGTGTCACGTCCGGCGCGATTATACGCGGCCGGCGATAACAGAGCAACCGTGCTTTCACAGAGAGAGAGAGAGAGAAAGAGAGAGAGAGAGAGAGAGAGAGAGAGAAGGAGAGCAAAGTCGAGATAGTTAGATATAGAAAGCGGAGGAGTTAAGTTCATTCATAAAAAAGAAAATTATTACGGCGACGGAGAGGAGAGACTCCCGCAAAGTGAATGATACCTCCTGCTACTCTTACTTCTCTCTCTCTCTCTCTCTCTCTCTCTCTCTCTCCCTCCGCCACCCTCTCGCCGTCGTCCTCTCTCGCTCGCTACCCTTTACTCTCCCCGTGCTCCTCCTCTACGACTGAACGGCGATTACCCCCACCGTCCCGTCCATCGTCCTTGCAACCGTGAAAGATCTCCTGTGATAAACCTCGATCCTCCCTCTTCTGCGAAATCATCTCTCTCTCTCTCTCTCTCTCTCTCTCTCTCTCTCTCTCTCTCTCTCTCACTTTCTCGAGTTGATCGAGGAAATCCTGCGAAACTTTGTCCTCCTCTACCTCCCCCTGCTCGTAACTTTTTCAAATAACATCGGGATTAATACCTCGCCGCCATGACGGTAACTCGCGGAGAGTCATCGTCCGACAATGTGTATCGATATGTACACACACACACACACACACACATGTACATGTCATGAGAAAGATAAAGTCAGACTGATTAGGAAGGGGTGAAGAGGAGAAAGAGGGGCAGAAAGTGAGAGAGAGAGAGAGAGAGTATCCACGACCTGCGCCAGAAGTGGCTAAACCATCCTCGACCCGTTGACCCCTAAAGTTTGCAAAGCGAGAATTCACATTTCGTGAATGGAGTGACTCATGAATGTATATCCCTGTGTCTCTCTCTCTTTCTCTCCCTCCCTCCCCCCCTCTCTCTCTCTCTCTCTCACTCGTCGGAAGCCTCCGACCGAGCGGCAGACAGTCTGTTTTTCGAGCGTGTGCGTCGGTGTATACGCGTGCGCGCGCGCGCGCTTTTCACCCACCCGGTTCCGTACGACTTGACGAGCGCTTGCTCGAAATAATTCGGGATTTAATCTCTTCGGTTGCCGTGCGCGCGCCGACCGAATTTCCGTTCCCCTCGTTTCGGGGATACGTTTGAATGATGACTCTGTCTCTCGAGCGTCGGCTCGAGAATCGCTGATCGCCAATTGTGCGTCGAGTAATTTTTATCGATTTTATTGTTACACGCGCTGATCTCTCGGTCATTGATTTTCCGCCGCGCGACGCGAGGCGGCGCGGAAAAATCACGCGCTCGCTATTCGCCCAGCGAGTTGTTCCCTTGACGAAAATTAAACATTTTTTTTTTCTCAACGAAAATGTCGATGGTCGAAAAAGCGCGGCTATTCGCGTCGCCGAGCTCCAAGCTCGGCGACCGAATAGATGACAGAATTGTCATCTCTCTCTCTCTCTCTCTCGATTAATCTCTCTCGGACTTTGGACTTTGCTCCGACAGGAGGAGAGCTTGCCGCGAAAAATGTTCGCAAGGAGTAAGTTCGCTGCGCGAGTAACGGACGCGAGTTACCGGACACCCTGTATGTCGTGATATCGTTGTCGCGCAGCGTTAAAAGCCCTTCTCTGCACTCATCGCAATGTCAATCGCAAGCGGACGCTACGCTCGTGTGGCGGCGATGATCGCAAAAGTTGGCTCAACTTCAACCGTTGCAAGTGCAACGCCAATCGATGATACAGTCTTCACAGCACCGACAGACTTTGGATCGGCTGTCGCAACAGCGCCGACAGCCGATTATTCGACAACAACAATCGACGTAGAAACAACAACTTTTGCAATCATCGTCGCTAACAAGAGAGATGCGTTTGCTCGCGGTCAACATCGCGATAGACGCAGAAAAGGGCCTTTGACACATCTTGGCCCTCGAGAGAGCCGTCGACACTTTTGCGTACGATGTTACTCCCTAAATTTCTTGGAGTGAAGTTTCAGTCGAAAGTAGACTCTCTCTCTCTCTCTCTCTCTCTCTCTCTCTCTCTCTATCGAGTGATTCTTCACTCATACAGAACGAGTTCTCCACTCGGAATCGCCGGGAGAATAGCTTGAGCCAAAATTGAAGAGTAAATCCCGTGTACTCCACCGTCACGGAAACATATTCGCTTTAATCGATTGAAGCATTTGCTCGTATGGATCGTCAGAATCCGCTCTAAGCTTGAGTGAATCGCGTTCACTCTTGCGATTTCGAGCGGCGGTGTTTTCACTGTCGCTTCGAGTGAAAATACCTGCCACTTTTCGCTCGTTTTCAGTCAGATTTCGCGTCCCGGCAAATTTCGAGAGAGCACGTTCCTTCCAAATCTCACCGGCGACGGAAAATCAGACAGGAGAATCGGTCAAAAGCGAGAGAGAGAGGGAGAGAGAGAGAGAGAGACAGAGTACGTTTCCTTGGAATTTCAACAGCGATCGCGCCTTCAAACTTGTCGCGAAATTTATATCGCCCGCTGATTGTATCAATATTACTGATATTCATTTTACGTATTGACTTTTTTTTCTTTTTATTCTGTGCCACTTGTAAGAGAGAACGCAACTTTGTTGGCCCAGAATTTCTTTGCGCTCCTCGTCGTGAGATTCGCTCACGTCTGTGATCGCGCTTGGAATGCAACGATAAGTCGATAATATCGAAATATCGCTATATCGAGAGACAAATATCGAATATTTATCGATAGTTTTTTGTCTCCGATAAAATCGGTATATCGATATGAATTTTACTGATATTTTGTATTTTTCAGTTACAGTTCCGGAGGCCTATTACGGTTCTACGACCGAGATGAAAATTACAAAAGTGAGTGAATTCGCTGGAATATATATTATATAATTGGTCGATGTCTAGTAAATTCGCTCATTTTCATCTCAATCGTTGAACCGTAATAGATCTCCTGCTCCATATATGCGGTGATCTCCGGAACGACGATTGCAGTTTATTATATATTTTCTAATAAGAATATGACAATAAATTATATAAAGATAAAAATTTTTAAAAGATCTTTTTAAAGTTTTCGTGTATATAAATATCGATATTTTTCAAAATTATCGATATTATCGTTATCGATGGTTCTGAATGGCGATAATATCGTTATCGCTATTTTGAGAAATCGTTGCATCCCTAGATCGCGTGCGCAAGCTGCGATAAGAATCTTGCACGCCCGCTTTGATTTCTTGTATACCTCGGGATTGTTCAACGACTCGACGTTACGAGGCTCATTGTTATCGCATAATTGAAGCGCCAAAGATACAAATGGTCCCACGGATCTCGTGGTCAGCGCGGGTTTTTAGAAAGAGAGAGAGAGAGAGAGAGAGAGAGAGAGAGAGAGAGAGAGAGAGAGAGGGAGAGGGAGAGAGAGAGAGAGAGAGAGAGAGAGAGAGAGAGAGAGAGAGAGAGAGAGAGAGGAAAAGAAGCGAAAGTTACCAAGGCGAGTCAGCCAAGTCACACGAGTTTCCAAGAGTTATCGCCTTTATTCTGAGATTTTCTCAAAGTGTCGAGCTCACCGTTGCTTCAGTCGTATCTTTGGCGCTTCGCTTATCGCTAGTTTACGCTCTCGTCCCTTTGTCCTCATCGGCATGTCCATCGTCCATCGTAGATATAAATTCCCGCTGCTAGTTTTTTGTCATCTCACCTTCGTTGAATCTGGCAGTCTTGCCGGTAAAGTCGAGTACTGCATTCTGGCCGAAATTGACCGAATTGACGATCAAACGAGTGAGCGAGACGAAAGACAAGACGCGCGAAAAAGAATATATATTACTTAGGTTCTTTATCGTGATCGATGATTCTTTATATGCGAAGAAGAATGTAAATTTTTTTTTTACTATTTTTATTCAGTTATCCAACTGTGTTGGAGCTCTTGTTGCGATTTTATCCATTTCCGACGCCGGCGCAGTCTCGCTGGCAAAGTCGAGAATTTTATTCCGTTGCGAACAAGCAACGGACTTTCCGCGAAAGGCGGGTGAACGAAATGAATTGTGCCAATAAAAATTGTTTCTTTTTTTCTTTATTTATTATTCTTTATTTATCCCGACACATGACAATTCGCGTACAATTCGCGGTTTATTCCCATCTCTTTGTCACGAAATTGAAATATTTTATACGCAAAGAACACGTCGATCCCCGCCGCTGTTTTTATTATTCAACTTATTGCAACCCCGTCGTCCTCCGACACGTCCTCGACACGCGTATTCCGCGGTCTTCCGCTGACAAAGTCGGGGCTGCACTGGCATTAAACGAACGGCGATCAATCGAGCGAACGAGCAAGACTTTCGCGGAGGACAGATGAGATGAATCGTGCGAGTGTGAACTGTTTTTGCTCGATCGCTCCGCATCTTCGCTTGATTTGTCTCGACACGCGTGCTGTATAAAATCGCGCGATTGTCCACTACTCGGTTCGTGTAAGCTGACAGACACTGGGCAGAAAATAAAAAATCGGCCGGCTTGTCAGCGCCACCGAAAACAGCAAGATCGTTCGATACGTGTGCGGAACCGAAAGTCGCTGCGAAGGGATGAGGAAGAATCCCGTTGGAATGTTGGGGATCCAGAATTTCAGTGCCAGTTTACAGCCTCCGCTCGCACTGAGACGGAAGACTCGCCGGTGGCGAAATCAACGTGCGAGATTATCGTCGCTAATTTTATTAAAGTTTTATTAAAGTTCCGATGAGATCGGTCGCGTGTGTCGAATAAAACACAAGATGAAATTATCCCATTTCTCGGGGGATTAATAGGGTTAGTCCGGGATAGATGGACATGGTTTTTTTAATTGCAAATAACTCAGCAGTGTATTAATGCAATAAATGGTCAACAACATATCAACATATTCAATAGAGGATAATGTTTAAGGTACAGAAGAGTTTTTGTGAGAAGAAAATTCCAGGGGCGCCAATAATAACGAAATATTAAAAATATTCTGTGAGGGATAGATCAGAGGGATAGGGTCAGGTGTCAAGGGATAGGTGTCATGAGCATACGTCATCTCGGTAATGAATTTTTAGGTTAAATACGATGTTTTTTTAGTCGTTTAAGCCCAGATCTAATGTTGTAACTCAAAGTAAACCGTATTCGCAAGATATTATTCCGACGTGTGGAACATTTTGGAGCTTAATAGGAACACAAAACATTTATTCATCAGGGAAAAATGACAGTCAAATAGATATATATATATATCTAGTAAATGTCGATCCAATGTCCATTGCTTGCTATTTCTCGCCAAGTAGACTGCCCATCTAACCCTGAAAAAAATGGATCCCCGTTTGGAGAGTTTGCGTAAAAATGCATATACCGCGTGAAACGAATTTCGAGATCAAATTGTGAAAATCCGATGCTTTTTTAGTCGTTTAAGCCCAGGTTTAACAAGTTGCAACTCAAAATAAACCGCATTCGCAAGGTACTTTTCCGACGCGTGAAACACATTTTGGAGGTTACCAGAAACACATTTATTTATTTACTCGCAATAGCAGTGTTTCTGGATCATCAGGATGAAACACACTTACTCGTGGTACATCCAACTCACAACTGAGCGATCAGCGCTGACGCCTGGCATATATTGACAAAATTCTAGCAATTGACCATCTATTGACCCGAACTTACCCTAATTGTTGCGACTAGAGTGGCGACGTCGACTCGGTATATTTGCTGAACGGGGACTTTCTATTTTTCCCTTTCAACGGTGAAACTTGCCGCGAGAATTTTTTGCAGCGAGCTCGTAGTCGTAGCAAGTACCATAGATTTTTTCTCAATGCACGGTCGGTCGAAACGTCGCGGAGGAATACGATGGCCGAGCCAACGGGACGCGGGACGCGGCACTAATGCGACCGATTGTACATACAGTATCGAACGACGTCCGGATCGGGGGACAATTACGTTCTATCGAATGAAACATCCGTTAATCGTTAGGCCCGGACGATCAAAGGGTTGAAGTCGCGCTGCAACGTGGCGTGGCGTGGCGCGGCGCGGCGCGGCGCGACGCGGCGCGGCATGCCGAGCGAGAGAAGGATACGAAGATAAAAAGAGAGGCTTCATTATTTTTTGCAAAGAATCAATCTAGCCGATGCCTCGCGATCGATCAACCTACGCGGGGGTGGACGCGTTCCTCCTTCGTCGTCGGTGTATCGGCCTATCGGCCGGCGGCGGTGCCTCGCCCTCGGCGTCATCCTCGCTCGCACCCTCGCCCTCGCCCTCACTCTCACCCTCGCCCTCGCCCTCGCCCTCGCCCTCGCCTTCGCCCTCGCCCTCGTCCTCTCTCGCTCTCGCCTCGCCTCGCCTCCCACCTCTCGCCCCGCCGTTACACTCTCGCGTCCTAATCGAGCTAGGCCCTCTGACGCGGACGGACATGTATCCCTCCCGCGCCCTTCCTCTCTATTACCCGGCCATGAGAGAGCGTCGTCCCTCTTTTCCCTCTCTCTCTCTCTCTCTCTCTCTCTCTCTCTCTCTCTCTCTCTCTCTCTCTCTCTCTCTCTCTCTCTCTCTCTCTATCCATCTCTCGGCCCCGTCCACCTAATCGAGCGAGCGCGAGGCACCTGCGATGTGCGATTTCGAAATTTTCGAGCGGGCGAAAAGGGAAAAATCGATAGCGCGCGGTCTGCCTTGGATAGCAGCCCAGCCTCCTTTTCGTTGACACTTGGTCGCACGTAATCCCTCCCCCCCCCGCCCGCGTCATCCGGCTCCCCGGACACGTAGCGGACGCGACTCGCAACCCCGTGGACGGAACGGTGGCTGGCTCGCCATGTAATCGCCACGCAGGAAGAAATCCCGATGTGCCACGGTCCACCGTGTACACGAAAGACGGCGATGGAGGTCGGCCCGGCGGAAGAGCGACGGCGACGACGACGGCGACGGCGACGGCAGAGAAAATCGAGAGCACGGCAAGAGAAGACGCCCGCATACACAGCGGGGGTACCCTAGGAGGAAGCCCCGTCGCGCCAGGGTCGCGGTGTACTCGTGTCTCTGTATGTGTGTGTGTATTCGCCCGCGCGCTAAAAGGAAAGAGAGAGAGAGAGAGAGAGGGAGAGAGAGAGAGGAGGTATATCGAGTAGAGGAGCAGCAGGGTCTCTGTGGAAATTTACCGGAGCGCGAGTTACGGGAACTTGCCTGTGGCTCGTTCGAGAAGCTTGCTAGCGCGGCTACGGCTCGGCTCCTCGCTCGTTGCTTCACTCGCTCGCGCGCTCGTTCGCTCGCTCGCTCGCTCGCTCGCTCGTTCGCTAGCTCGCTTCCTTCGCCCCCATATACACCGCGGCTTTCGCATCCGCGGCTAAGAGCAAAGGGGCGCCAAGGGTTCGGGTCCGTCGTCGGGTGGCGGAGGTATCGTGGGGTAAAGAGGGATGAGGAGGCGGGTGGTGGCGGAGGAGGATGAGGAGATGGAGGAAGAGGAAGAGGAGGAGGAGGAGGAGGAGGAGGAGGAGGAGGTAGTCACAGCCTGGAGGGTCGTGAAGAGGCGGATGGCAAAGGGGGCAGCGGGAGAGACGCGGGGCGCAACGGTATACGCGTCGAGGGTCGGTCGAGGGAACGCCGTCGGGGCTAACAGGGGGGCAGAGGGGGAAGGGATGGCTGGGGCGACGAGTCGCGGACCAAGCCGAAGTAGGTCGTCTCCTCTCTCTCGTCGTTTCATCCTCTCTCTGTCCCGCTCTTCGCTTGTCCGTATTTTCTTCGTCCCGGCTTCTATCCTGCTCTCTCTCTCTCTCTCTCTCTCATCCTCTCACCCTCTCCTACTCCTCGCGCTTCTGCCTCTCTTTCCGTGCTGCGACGTCGCCGCTCTCTCTGTCTCTCTCTGTCTCTCTTTCTCTCTCTCTCTCTCTCTCTCTCTCTCTCTCTCTCTCTCACCTTCTCTCTCGTTCTCTCCATCGCGCCGTGTATTCCGTGGTAAACGGCCGGCCTGCTCGGCGGACCCTCGCGTGGCCTGCAGCTGTCTCCTATCCCCTCCGTGTTCCCCGACACCCCTTATACCTTCCTGTCTTTCGTCTCTCTCCCTTTTCGGACTGATCTTTCTTTTTCTCCGTCGCTCGTTGCGGCCTTCTCTTCGCCGCGGTGGTACTGTTCTTCGGCACCCTACGAGGAAAGCAAGTGAGAGAGAGAGAGAGAGAGAGAGAGAAGGAATAGTCGCAGTAAGGGTGTGAGAAGGGAGAGGGACCACCACGCGTCCATGTAGTAGGTATCAGGAAGAAACGAAAGAGAGGCTAACAGCGAGAGAGAGAGAGAGAGAGAGAGGAGAGAGAGAGAGAGAGAGAGAGAGAGAGAGAGAGAGACAATCTATCCTGTAAATATATAGCTGTCCGTTGTGATGTGATCGGTCGCAGATTTGCAGGAGCAGGTCAAAAAAGGGCTTTTCGTACAGCTTTAAACAATAAGTGGTGGGCAGTTTCCGGTGATTCTGTAGTTCCGAGTCGAATCCGAGAACCAAGGAGCGTGGTTGGAACGAAAGTTTTCCGCTTGATGCCTGTAGTATTTTCGCGGCATGTAGCGTACCGCAACCAAGCTCTTCCTCTCCTTATTCGTTCGCTCCATCTTGTGCAAAAGCTCGAATTTGCATCTTTCCGGCTTGGAGAGAGAGCCTCGCTTTCCGCGGGCGCCAAGTTGTGTGTTTTTCTATAAAGGAAGCCGATTCTCTTCCGTCGACTTGTACGCCGGTACAGACAAGAGTCTGTCGATCCTCCGTCAATTTGTTTTTTAATCAGGACGACTGAGAGACGACTTCACGGACGACGGAGAGACGGACCGACTGTGAATATTCCGACGCGCAAAAACATTAAAGAATATTTTGCCTATCGGAGGCTCGATCAGTCATCTTTACGGAGAAAGCTAAACGTTAAACAACTGCTGCAAATAAGTAGCTAAATCTGGAAAAGTTAGAGCTAAAGGAAAAAAGGATCGTTTGCTGTTAGATTTGCTGTTATATTTGATTAGTCCGGTCGATACGCTGCCGATACGCTGGTTGTCCAAACACCTGTGAAATTCTGTGATCTTCACGCCGTAGGAAGCCATTACGACACTAAAAGTCGACGATACAAGTGATAGATCTTCGAACGGTACGGTCGAGGAGCGCCAACATCTTCATAATTCGTAAATATTGTTGACAAACTATTCACAAGTCGAAAGAAATATTTGTCCCTAACCACACACACACACACACACACACAGTCAGATTTCAACCAGTCGGCCGAGACCGCTCTGAGACGCTCTCTCGTACACGTCGGTCGTTTGGTTTGTCAAAGCAAAAAAAACTGGATTCAGATTACCTGTTCGACAATGAAATTGCCGAACTCCATAAAGTGCCAAGTTCGGCTCGATTATTTAATTCGGTAGGTTCGATCGCGCAAGTTTCGTGAAAACTGTCGAAGCATTGTACGTATGCGACGACGAGATTCGCCATTAGAGACATAACAGGCGCATAACTTGCGACTTGTGCCTCGTTGCGAAGCAAAGGGAACACGAAGGGAGATCCAGATTTGTTTTCCAACAGACTCGAATGACGACCGAGGAACATTGAAAGTGAGACGTAACGGTGAACGACCACGGTGTGTAAGCCATTTGCCGTCAACGATCAGGAACTCGCCCAAAGACATTCGTCGCTCATTCTTCTAGTAGTTTCTCTCCTAATTGCCGTTCTCCTAGAGCGAAGGGTCGATGAAATTTTTCCCTATCCGATTTGTGTTAAATGAATCTTCAAGATACAGGTAGTAGTAGTAGTAGCAGTAGTCTTGACTAGTCGCGCGAAGAGGTCGAAGACAATCAAGACAAGCCGGACAAATACTACTGTGGCGTCATTCCATTCAGAGGCACGATTTAAACGGATAACCGGCGCTCAATAACGCGCCAAGCGACGTGGAACAAATTTGACAGGCGCGCAACTGCGAGAGAGGGAGGGAGGGAGAGAGAGAGAGAGAGAGAGAGAGAGAGAGAGAGAGAGAGAGAGAGAGAGCTCGTAAATCTGTAACGAGATTTAGCATTTCACTCCTCAGCGTATCTCCGACTTATAGTCGGAGCGCAGCCGTGCCCTCCGCGGAACGACGAACAAGTCGGATCGTCGCGCGATCGCGCTCGCGATTATGGATAAAGAAAAGCAGAAACATTTAATTCCTGCGAGTCCATCCTAGAAAGGAAATTGTCGAAAAAGAGAGACAGCTCCTCGGCGGAGAAAATATCGATTCGCATAAAGACATTCATTGGTCTCTCTCTCTCTCTCTCTCTCTCTTTCGCCCTCTTTTTCCTCGATCAAGCATTTTGTACGCGATGCGAGGCAACGTGGCTACGTGTCGAACACTGACGAAGGATAATGCTAATTTATCATATTGTCTTTGCGTTTTTCGCTTTTACTACCGGTATTCTTCCGGACAATTGTGTGCTTTCGATATTTCGGCAAAATTGCATTTCGGAGGAATACCGATGTTACTCGACCCGTCTGCTTTTAAACTTTTGATATTCTCTTCGCGCGTGTCCTTCGAATGGGAAGGCACAAGTTGGAGACTGCTAGAATATCCGCGAAAAGCAGAAAAAGGAAATGAATCTCTAGAAATTAATCCTCGGACAACCCTAAAAATAAATTCAGAGATGACACAAATTAAAAAATAGACACAAGTCCTCGTGACCATGCGAACACTGACAAAGAAAGAGATCGCCGTCGTTTATCCGGACGAAAAAAAAAAATGAATTTCTATGAAGCAATCCTGCGAAAAGAGGAAATTGTAAAAGTAGATTTGTAAATGAAACGAGATTAAAAAATAAGAGTGCAGTTAAATAAAAACTTGGTGAGAAAACACGCTTTCTTTTCTTCTGTTTGACGAATGATGCAACAGCAGCAGCATTTTCAGCATTTTGTAACGGTGCTACAAGAAGTTACGGTTGAGATCGATTATCTGAAAAAGAAAGAGAAGAAGGGAGAAAAAAATAATTTGCTGCGAATCAATTCCGGAGACAATTGTAAGTCTTGGAAACAAATTCAGAAGTCGAGAGAGAGAGAGAGAGAGAGAGAGAGAGAGAGAGGGAGAGAGAGAGAGAGAGAGAGAGAGATAAATTTAGTAAGATAAAAGCATATTGAAAGAAAAAAAAAAGTTTTACGAGACTTCTCCCTTCTTTTGCTCTTTGGCAAAGAACGAGCGGCATGATACAAGTGAATGTAGCTACATGACAACATTGAGAGACGAAGACGGAGATCCTTTCTCGGCATCGACCTCGGAGGATCGAGTTCAAGTTCAAAGTGCGCGAGGAGGAGACTGCCGGTGTTACCGATGTAATAACGAAAAGTACAAGCGATCCGCACACGTGCGCACACTTTCGTATTTTATTTCTCGTAAACGCGACATTTACCTCGTTACCCACACAGATATTCCGTCGCGGGGCCGCGCGCGCGCGCGCGATACGAAAAGCGTCTCGATATTTCGCCGGCAACGTCGGCGTGTTTTCGCGCTGTCACCATTTCCATTTTCACGAGTGCGATTTGCATCGGTAAAACACATCGCCAGCGCGTCAGGCGCTCTTCGGAGCTCTCTCGCTCTCCCGTACGTTCGGCGCCGATACGCGATTACGCCAGTGTCAATTAAATCGCTCCGCTCAATTAGGTAACGGTGTTATTATCAAATTAATCGCTACGCGGCTTTTGTTTGCGCCCTCAATCGGAGATCTCGCGTTACTTAATGGCTCCCGTTTCATCCCTTATGATAAAGCCATTACGGATGCTCGGAGCGTTGTACTGTGTATGTATGTGTGTGTGTGTGTGTGTTCGTCTATGTGTTTGTTCCTACACGGAGTGTGTTACGTGTCCGTTTCCCGGCGCACGCGTCCTCCTCTCTGTATGCGTTTGCATGGATGTCGTGCTCGTGTGTGTGTGTGTGTGTGTGTGTGTGTGTGCGCGGCCGTATATCAGAAAGCCAGCCGAGTTATAGAAGCGGGTCGATCCTATCTTTCTGCTTGGGGTGCGACGCATTGCAACAAGTGCACGACGATAGCTACATTGAGGATTCGGTCTGTTCGAGCTCAATTCCATTCATCGTCGAAACAGTTCCGACCAGATGCTTTAACGATCGGCACTCGGCCCAAAACACAAATTATCGAGTTAACTGCTGCGTGCCTGTTCGGTGAGTAGAGTATAGCGCGCGGTCCTCCTCGTCTCGACGAAAGACGAGTGGGTGGGTGGGTAGGGAAGTGAGTGAAAGAGGCAGGAGGAGGGGGGGAGAGGGAGAGAGAGAGAGAGAGAGAAGAAGCACGTCGCAAAGTAATTTTAATTAGATCGCGCGCGCGCGCGGGCTGGTAATAACGACTATTATCCGACTGTAAGTTTCGCTTTCGTTCTCTCCGCCGCCGTTACCGTCTGTTTTTATTGCGGAGCGTGTTATAGATAGCGAAAAGTACTGTTGGAACTCACTCTCTCCTTCTCCGCCGTCTCTCTCTCTCTCTCTCTCTCTCTCTCTCTCTCTCTCTCTCTCTCTCTCACTCACACGCGCGCTCTTTCTGTCTGCGCATGTATTTACGTGCAAACGTCCGCATGCAGGTGACCCATAAACCGTGTCCTTGACCGACGCATTTTTTTTTCGACGAATGTTACGCGAACCAACGAGGAAGCAGAGAGAGAGAGAGAGAGAGAGAGAGAGAGAGAGAGAGAGAGAGAGGGAGAGGGAGAGGGAGGGAGGGAGGGAGAGGGAGACGAATATAGCAAGGAAAAATAGAAGCACAAATTACATGATGTCGACGGCCGAACGGGCGACCGATGGCCCATGCGATATATATTTCGAATGGGGAAGTTTCCGAGAGTTGGAGTTTGTTTCGCAACAAACACACGTGTGTACACGCACACCTTCGCGCGCGTATAAATGGAGCGCGTGGGTGTGTGCGCAGAGAGCCGAGTCGTGCATTTAACGCATTTAATGAAAATGATTTCCCATTGCGGAAATTATCGGGACTGAGAGCGCGTTTCCACAAACGTGCTTCGCCATCCACGTGGTGGTGGTGCTGGTGGTGGTGGTGGTGGTGGTGGTGGTGGTGGTGGTGGTGGTGGTGACGGTGGTGGTGGTGGTGGTGGCAGTGGGGTAGTAGTGGTATATCCTATCGCTGGCGGGAAGTATGGGTTAGTCAGAGACATACTCTCTGTATACGTATACACATAAAGTAAACGCAACAAGTTTCCTTTTTATGCGGTGACCTACAGGTTATTCAAAAGGAAACTTAAACCGAGAGGGACAGTATTATTACTGCGGGAGGTCACGGGGATGGGAGAGAAACTACTTATCGGTCTTCCCCGTTCCTTTTTCCGAGCGGGGAAAACGGGAATGGCAAAAAGAGAGAGAGAGAGAGAGAGGGGGGGGGGAAAGAGGGATCGATTTTAATGCTCGGGAGAATTAAAGAGCGTTCTCATCGATCGTTCGGCCGAAACGAGCCCTTTCGCTAATCGGCCGACGCTCCCGTAAAATACTCGACTCGCCGACTACCGATTTTCTCTTTTCCCCTTTTTTTCCATTTATTTTGCCCTCTCCGGCCGGCCCTTTTTTCTTTTTTTGTCAAGTAGCGATCGTTTCACACGACGACAAAAATTTTCCGGACAAAGTATGATATTTAACGAAGTAACGCGGGACGTCAAAGGGGGACGGTACGAGCTTGGAAAAAAGGTATCGCGCGCGCGCGCGCGCGCGCGCTGCTATTGGGAGTATCAAAGGCCGTCAAAAAATTACGCTCCACTTTTCCTTCTTTTTCGCCATTTTTTTTTTGGTTCTTTTATTTTTTCCGCTTTTTTCCTGCTCTCGCAACGATACGTATGTGGACTTGTACGTATATATATATCGTGCCGGGGTTTCGTGGATTGCGAGGCTGCTTTGTACGCCGTAGTTTTTGGGGCAGATCTTTTTCTTCCGAACCAAGACGCGACCATCACTTCTTCGGCAAGATTTCCCCCCGACAATTTGTACGATCGAGTCGACATCGAGTATATCTGCGTAGCTGAGGCAGCTAGCTGTTGAGTGAGTTTATGAATTTAGTAACGAAGAAAGGGATGAAAAATATAATACGAATCGTAATATTTATTTATAAATGAATAAAATGTCCTACAAGAGCTAAAAACAAATAACAACAAACGGCCATAAGAGGGCGTAAAATTTTGCAATTCTGTGCCTGGAAAAGTGCTGAGAAACTCTTATGCGGGTTTTAACGCCAATATCATTACCGTTGAACAGCTCGTTGCACAGCTATTATACTTACGCATCGATAAAAACTGCAACAGCATTTTTTAACACGTGCCAATTTGTCGTTGTTGGCAAATCTCATTGCTCGTTTTCTCGGCTCGGGGAAACTCGCCATCGAATCGTTCCCGCGAATCTCATCTTCAATCACGAAATATCGCAGTTTTATGTACGAAGGAACGTTGATTTTGCGATGGCAATAACGCATCGATAGCACAATTCGGTTGTGCCCACAACGCACGCGTCCAATTTCTTGTGATGACTCATTTTAGAAGAAGAAGAAGAAGTAACCGCGACATCCGCGAGGAATGTTAAACGTGATGACGTGAGGATCAGAGTGTGTGTCCAGGATGGGCAACAATAGACTGGTTAAAATTGTAAGAAGCGAAAGGCCTGACTCGAGAGACAACCACCAGGGCGTCTGCCCAAAGGTCGGTTGATGCCTTCGTCTTCGCGTCTCAGAAGGAGAACCGAAACAAGCCGTGTCAGGCTTTCGAAAAGACGAAGAGGAAGAAGAAGAAGAAGAAGAACTAATTTTAGGAATCTGTTTGTACAACGCTCTGATAGGTCTGATAGGTCAAGATATACTCGATCCAGGAGATACACTCTGAAACTAGTGTGGAATGACAGGTAGGTAAGGATAAATAGCAGGCGGGGTGAAGGGGAAAGAGAGGGGAAGAGAGAGAAAGGAAGTAGTCATGTTCAGTGTTATGGTCACGTCTCTCTCGCGCTTTCGAGCGCGATAAGAGAAGAATAGCTCGGCCGAGGTAAATGATTACATTTCGGGCATGCAAGATTTATGGTCACGGCGATCAACGACAATGATCACAGCAAAAGACTGAATGATACGAGGGAAAGGTCGTCTCGTCGTTGTCGAGTCGCGTATCGGCTGTTGAGTGGAATTGTGGAAGGAGCGGATAAATATAATTGAAGATTCTAGGGAAACGTTATGTGAGAATGAATCCTTATCGTACATTTTCAACAGTAGTCCCATTCTTTTAGAGTCTCGCTCTCATCCTTTTGTACAAGATAAATAATAGGATTAATATATGAGATGAGATATCTATGACGAGATTGATAAAAACACAGCGCCGATACGCTGTGAATGAAATCTCAAGTTAAAAAGATATCGGAAAAGTTATTATTAAGATATCGATTGACATCAATCACGTATTAATCGCGTTATTCGCGCCGTTTGCGCCGCGATAGCGCGCGACTCGGCGAGGCCGAAGAAAACGGGCGGAAACGGAGTAGGTACTCGTTGTACGTCATTAATCGATCGGCGAACGGTCAACCCCAACGATAATGTCGCGACGCACCGACGTCACACTTGCACACCATTTACGCAGAAATTACGCACGAAATATC